GGCTATTCTGTGAGAACTGACCAATAATGATTGGAAAATGTTTAGGATGAATGAAACTTGCAGAAATGGCACATTAGGAGTATAGAAATAGAGCCAGGGTATAGGTGCAAATACCTGCTTTAGTCCTGTAAATAACAGACTTCACTGTATGCTCAGCATTGAGGGCCAGCTGGCCAAATGTGCTAACCAAAAGCTGCACAGGCTTCAAATAACAAGCTGCATCAGGGAGACTTAAACTGGAAGACAAGACAGTCATGAGTCCCATTAGCTGCACTGATTGCCAGGGAACCGTCAACACATTCATTCCAAAATATGGTTATGCTTGGCACTGTCACTGGGTCAGGCGCAGACCAGAAAGGAAAGAGGAAGGTGAAAAATCCAAGAGCTGAGAGAGATTCCAAGTGGTCTCCAAGATGAATACAAGGACGGGTATGCTGTGCAGTTCCCTGAGGCCTAAGATGACAGTGGCCTTGGAAGCCACACCCACAGTGAGGCTGAGGTGGGGGATGAAGAGATTGGGGGCCAAGCATCTCAGCACACCCAAAAGCTCCAGCCCATCGGGCGAGGGTCCTACCTGGGATGTATGTATGTATGTATGTATGTATGTATGTATGTATGTATTTACTGCAGCCAACCAGAGAATCCTGGCAGCATAACCAGATATGTTTCTGCCTATGACTATAGCCTCAAGTATTATCTTCAATCATACTTTCTTATTCTTAGAAAAGTTCTTTGGCAGGAGTAAGTAGTTGGAACACAGCCAAAGAAGCAGGAAGTAAGGGGGGGAAGCCTCTCAATATCCAAAATAGATAGTATGGGTTTACTTAAAATCGAAATACTTCACTTCTTCAAGAACTCCTAAGGCACTCAGCCAAAGCCTAGTGAAGGCAATCTATGGAGTTCTCAAGATCACAGGAGAATCAAAATGGCAGGCAAGGCAGCGACAGTCGGAATACGAGAGCAGAAGAGAAGATTGAAAAGCCGGAAAGTAAACATGGTAACTGAGAAAGTTGACTTCTTCAGATATAATTTAGGGCAAGGACAAACTCTTGATGCATCAGTGGACTCCGAGACGTTGCTGCATTGCGGAATGGGTTCTCATTCACTGTAATGCCTGAGTCACCAATAAAAATTCGGTTGTGATCACTAACTCCACTTAAGAATGCAGGGATGCGTTTGGGGAAGCCCTCATTCCCAAAACACTAAAGTTAAAAATGTCAGCTCCTAAAAGGGGAGCTTCAGCTAAGCAGAACTAATTTGTTAATCTGCTCCTCCTCTAGGTCTTAGGCTCCAGTCCTGACATTTAGAAGTTAAAATCATACTTATAAATATATTGTTCTGAGTCTTTTTAGCTAATAGAGTTTTGTTTGCAGGCTTTATTTCTGCATTCAGTTATCAGTGAGTAGTTACTTTTTTAAAGTTTTATTTATTTATTTTGAGAGAGAGAGAGAGCAGGGGAGGAGCAGAGAGAGGGGGAGAGAGAGAATCCCAAGCAGGCTCTACGCTGTCAGCACAGAGGCTGATATGAGGCTCCAACTAATGAGCCCTGAGATCATGACCTTAGCTGAAATCAACACTGGACGCTTAACCAATGGAGCCTCCCGGGTGCCCCATGAGGACTGTTTTAATTCAGTTTCGGTGTTTGAGCATCGTTGGCTGGTTCCGGCCGCTCATGTGACTGGTCTTGAGTTTCTATCAGTCCACAGTATCACGCTGTCTTCCTGAACCATGCCAGAAATGTTTCCGGGTCTTTTTTGCCTGGCCTTTAATTTTAAACCAGTCGTCAGGATGAGCACTGGATCTTCTGGATGAGTTCACAGTCTGAGCACGGTTCCGTACGGGAGATTAAACAACCGATCTTGATATCAAGACTCATTCTTCTGCCGACAGAAAACAGGCTGAGCAGACTGCAGATAACCCCACCCCTGCCTTGTCAGTTTTGAACAGTAAATGTAATTCCTGTCCATAGGAATGACAGGCCCATGTCACCTGTGTGGGTGGGCCTCTTGATAGACAGAGAAATGCTTTGTTTCAGAGAAGGCAATGTGGCATAATGACTGAAAGCCCAGGCTCTGGAATCAGAAAGACATGTTTGGTGTTTTGTTTTTCGTTTTTGCTTAACCTCCCTTAAAACAACTATGATACTAAACTTTCTAAACTCCAGTTTTCTCAGGGCGCCTGGGTGGCTCAGTCAGTTAAGCGTCCGACTCTGGCTTGGGTCATGATCTCGGGGTCTGTGAATTCGAGCCCTGCGTTGGCTCTGTGCTGACAGCTCAGAGCCTGAAGCCTGCTTCAGAGTCTGTGTCTCCCTCTCTCTCTGACCCTGCCCTGCTCATGCTCTGTCTCTGGCTCTCTCTCTCTCAGAAAATAAATATAAAAAAAAAAAAAAAAAAACACTCCAGTTTTCTCATCTGTAAAATATTGATTACAGTAACTACCACATGGGCTATTGTTGCAGATAAATGAAACAACTTTGTAAAGCTGTAGCTAATATATAATAACAATTATTATGAATCTACAGTTGACAGAATGTGAACAGAGATCAATGAGAAGGAAAAGGGAGTAATGTGTCCATGGTGGATCTCTCAGATGTCTTAGAATTATAGCCCATTCTTTAATGGCCTGTTTGATTAATCAATAGTGGAACTATTTCATTCTCTTGATACTGCACCTGATAGTTCTTTTAGCATTAATTGTATTACAATATCACTAGAACAGAACTGTTAAGATTTAAGTCCTGTGACATTTTGTTTTCAGGGTCTGAGCATAGTTACTGCATTTTTAAGGGAAAGTTTTAGACTGTGGTTTGTTGAGCAGAAGGTAATCTGTACATGGGTACTCTTGTCCTTTTATTTTAATTTTTTTAATTAAAAATTTTTAAAGTTTATTTTTGAGAGAGAGACAAAGTGTGAGCTGGGGAGGGGCAGAGAAAGAGGGAGACACAGAATCTGAAGCAGCGTTCAGGCTCCCAGCTGTCAGCACAGCGCCCGACACAGCGTTTGAACTCACAAACTACAAGATCACAACCAGGTCCAAAGTTGGCCCCTTGACCAACTGAGAGACCCAGAAGCCCCTACTCTTGTTCTTTTAAATCTATGACAATGTGAAGGCCATTATCTGAAGTTGAGGAACATGGATTTGTTTGTAGAAGATTATGAGTGGTCTGATTGCTTGTTTCATAAATACCGCCCAAACTGGCCTCGCTTTCCTTCCTGGGAGTTCACATCTAACTGTTGATTTTATTTATTTTGTTTTATTTTTATTTAATTTTTATGTTTTAAGCAGGCTTCCAAGCCCCTTCTTGCCCTCAAACACCTCACTTAAGCTGTCACCCTGCTCAGGGTAAGAGGGCATGGTTTCAGTTCTGGTCAGTTTCTAGAACTGTGTGATATCTAATGAACCAGTCTAGCCTAGCTAATCTGCAATCATATGCCTCAGTGAGTGTGAATGTGGGTGTGGTGTGAGTAAAGCAGAGATTGTTAACTAGTGTTAGTGACCTCCTAGAACATCTCCATGGGGACAGGGAGTGGAGGTAAAGACTCTTTTTTTTTTTTTTTTTAAACCTGTGCATGGGGGATCGTATGTTGAGAAACTCTGGCCTGGCATTAGGAACTTTTGGGCAGCTTGCTGGTGATTAAACCCCTGGAGAATGCAAGCGCGAGGGCTGAGCTGGGGGGGAGAAGTTGTTACCACCAGTGTCTGTCGGGCAGGTCTGCAGGATAAGCTGGAGGCCACGCTGATAACAGTATTAGGTCTGCCTGAACATCACTGCCTGCCTGTTTGGATTCTCCTTGGCTAAGTAACAACTCCCAGGTAAACTCCTGATGCAAACGTTTGGGTTTGGTTTCCCCGTGTATGCTGGGGTCCGCATAGGCTCCCTTTCCCCTGTTTTGTTTTGTTTTGTTTTATTTTTTTGTTTTGTTATTTATTTCTGAGAGAGAGAGAGAGACAGTGTGAACAGGGGAGGGTCAGAGAGAGAGACACAGAATCTGAAACAGGCTCCAGGCTCTGAGCTGTCAGCACAGAGCCCGACGCGGGGCTCGAACCCACGAACTGTGGGATCATGACCTGAGCCGAAGTCAGACGCCTAACCGACTGAGCCACCCTGGCGCCCCCCCTTTCCCCGGGTTTTATACCCATCAGCTCAGCGCACTGCTTTCCTGAAAGCTTGCTTCTTCAGCAGGCGTCCAGCAACTCCTGGGAAGGCTCTTCGAGACTTCCCTGATTCTCCAAACTGAAACCGTTTTCTGAGTGCCCGTGATACGTCCGTCTCCCCCTGGGGACCGAGAGAACAGTCTCCCTCTCGGGAACACGTGCATGGTAACATGGATCAGAACGCACAGAGCCTAAGGGAAACACCGTTTCTTAGAGAGGTCAAATGCTTCCCAAACCAAAGGGATGGGCGGAAAGGACCAGAAGCTAGCAGTCCCCTCATTAGCTGGTGTGACCCGGATCCGGGTGTAGGAGGAACGCGGCCAGGGGAGGCTGCGTCCCGGGGGCGCTGGCTTGCCGCCCGGGGGTCTTCCCGGGCCTCCAGCCCCCCGCAGATTCACCGTCTGCAGCAGGGACTGCGAGGGAGCAGGCTCCGAAGGACAGCGCAGGAAACGCTAGCCGGCGCGGGGGCCCGGGGAGGGGTGGGGGAGGGGCGCCGAGGCGGCGGCGGGGCCAGACCAGGGTGGGGCCCGGGGTGCTCCCGGGGCGTGGCGCCCGCCGGAGTGGCCGGGCGGAGGTCTCTCCGGGGCGCGGGGAGGAAGGCTGGCGAGCTCGGGAGAAGGAAGCGGACGGGCGCCTCCCGCCCCCGGGGCTGCCCGCCAGCGGCCGCAGGGCGAGGCGGCGGCGCCCGCTGGCGTCGCTTTCGCTCTCGCGGGTCGGCGGGGGTTCAGGCCGCGCGGGGCGGGCCGGGCGGCGCTTCCCCGGTTCCCTCCGCCCCGCCCCCCTCCGGCGAGCCAATGAGCGCCGAGGGAGGCCGGCGGGAAGCGGGGCGCGCCGGGGCCGCCGCGCCTGCCCCGAGCTCGCGCGCCGGGAGTCTGCGCCCGCCGCGGCCCCGGGCCTGGTCGCGCGCTCCCCGCGAGCAGGGCGGCCGCGCGCGCGCGCGCACGGCTGGGGCAGCCGCCCACGGGCGCTGGGGCCGGAGCAGGGCGAGCCGGGCGAGCCGGGCGGCGCGGGCTGGGGCCGGGGGGCGCCTCCCGAAGATGCAGGATGGCAGCAGAGCCGGCGGCCAGCCCCTCGTACCGCACGACGGGCTCCACCTGCCTGCACCCGCTCAGCGAGCTCCTGGGCATCCCGCTGGACCAGGTAACGGCGGGCGCGGGGCGCGGGCGCGGGGGGACCCGCCTCCCCAGCCCCCGCGGGAGCGCGGCTGCGGGGACCCTTCGCCACCGCAGGTCCCCACCCTCACCCCCAGCCCCAGCCCCATAGCAGATTTCACAGCTACCAGCTCGACAGGTGGGCTTTTCTTCTGACCACGCTTTTGCCCTGTAAGTGTGAAAAAAAAAAAAAATTGGTATACTCTGAAAAACAGGCTCAGATGATATATAGTGTTTTCTTTTTGAGGTTTTGGGTTGCCTCGTTTCCTGTCACCAAGTTCGAAGCTAGTCTGATAAATGAATCAGGTGTTTTGTGTTTTTTTTTTTTTCCCCATCAGTGTAGTCGAGTCTTGATTATTTTTCATATAGATTTCGCTCCTTAAAAGATAAGCCGGGTTAGTCTGTTTCTTTCTTTTTTTTTTTTTTTTTTACTTAAATATCGTTTGTTTGTTTTTTTTTTTTACAAATAGTTTATTGTCAAGTTGGTTTCCATATAACACCCAGTGCTCATCCCCACAAGTGCCCTCCTCCATGCCCATCTCCCCCTTCCCCCCCACACCCATCAGTCCTCAGTTTGTTCTCAGCATTCAAGAGTCTCTCATGGTTAGTCTGTTTCTGCAGAGTATTGCTTTTGAACAGACACGTTGGTTTTAGACTTGGGTGGTGAGACTTGTCTGATCAGGGGGACACTTATTTTGTAGCACGTGTGACGTCCATCGGAAAGTGAGGACTTACACAAGACTACCATGGTTTCTCAAGGACCTTCAGTTTGTTCATTCAAGAGTAACTTGAGGTTGGAGGCTCCTGAGTGGCTTAGGTTAGTGGGAGAAGAGAGGCCCCACAGAAGTGTCCTGGGCTGTCCAGGAATTGTCTGCTTATCATTAAAGCTGAAAATAGCAATAGACAACTGTATAATTCCTGGTAAGAAATCTGCCTGAGGGTTGAGGCTGTCTTACTCATTTTCTGGTCTCTGTACGTAGGTGCAACAAGCTAGATCTGCCATGTATTTCATGGTGAGTCAATAAATATGTGTTGATTTAAGTGGAGTGAGGTGTGTTGGAGGACTGCCCATTCCACTCCGGTTTAGTTTCATACTGAGTTTTGCTCCAAGTTTCTTCCTCGGCTTTTCACTAGTGATCTTCTTTTTCTTCTCTCCACCCCCCCGCCACCACCCTCCCCAGAATGGGAGTATACCTGCTCTCCTCTCCACTCACATTCCTTCTGCAATGAGGAAGTGAGATCTGGAGATTTGCCTTATTCAGATACTGTTTACTGAGCTACCCTTCTACCTGACTGCCTCCAAAGATCTGATTCAGAGCTCCACCTCGTCTGGCCATTTGCCTTCTCATCAGTTGCAAAATCCAGAAAGTTAGCAGATTGGGAGGGGTATTAGATGCTAACTGGTGCTTTTGTAAATTACTCTTCAATTTATGATGAGGATGGGAGACACCCAGGGACTTAGGCAAAGGCAGAGATATTAGCAAATGCTTTTGCCCTGAAACCGCTATAACTCATAGCTGACTTTCCTTAAGGGGAATGTGTTTTGCACTTACCCCTGCAGCCCCAGCACCAACCCCCATCAGAATTTATTTTAGTTGCGTTTTCTGTTTTAAGTTATTTGGCATTGCTAGAGACAGAGATCTGGGGAGGATTTTTGCATGGAAAGGGATAGTTAAGGAATCCTGGCAAGTTACGACTGGGAGGTGCCAGTATGATGTTACCAAGTGCTTTTTAACTCATCCACCCTCGTCCCCACTCTCCTGGGTTTCTGTCGAAGGAACCCTGTTTTTAATTTATAAAAAAGAATAAAAGAGCCTTAAGGATGTTTAAGGCTGGGAGAAGGGGATTTCTGGGATAAACTGAAAGAAAAAAGTGGGTGATGGATAAGGAAGGACCCCTCTCTCCCCCACTGCCCCATGATGTCTTTGATCTTTGGATGGCCCCACCGCCCTCCATCAGGGACATATCTGAGTGATTCTTGGCAGAAGTACATATAGGGCAATGCCCCAGCTCGCTTATTTAAAGCCTGACGAAAATCCCAAACCATAAATAATGTGGTTTGAGGCTAAATTGTGGCTTGAGAATTTGGAAGCTTGAAGTGTTTTTCTCCCTCACACTTTATAATGTTTATTTACTTAATTTATTTATTTTTGAGAGAGAGAGAGAGAGTGCAAGCTGGGGAGGGCCAGAGAGAGAGGGAGACACAGAATCTGAGGCAGCTCCAGGCTCTGAGCTGTCAGCCCAGAGCCCCACGCAGGGCTCAAACCCACGAACTGTGAGATCTTGACCTGAGCTGAAGTCCCGTGCTTAACCGACTGAGCCACCCAGGCACCCCTCTCCCTCATACTTTCAAGGCCATTGTAAAGTCTGAGATGTCAGACTTGACCTGGCCTGCAAGCAGACTTCTTTCGTGAGTGCCTCTGTGACGGCTGGCTGACATTCAGCTTCCCAGAGCTGGAGTGCCCTTGTGTGTAAAATGGGAAACGGCAATGAGTTCTACATTTTGGGGGTGCCTGGGGGGCTCAGTTAGTTGACTGTGTGACTCTTGATTTCAGCTCAGGTCATGATCCCAGGCTCTGTGTTGGGCTCCATGCTGAGAATGGAGCCTGCTTAGGATTCTCTCTCTCTCCCTCTGCCCTTCTCTCCCGCTTGTGCTGTCTCTTTCTAAAAAAAAACCACTACATTTTGGAGTTGAGAAATTTTATGTAGATACAAAGTGCCCTGCATCAGAAAGGCCCTTCATTCGCACAGGGTCCTGGCGGGAAACAACTCCGTGCACTGAAGGCACCGTAATGAACTACATGGAGGGATGTGGGTGTGTTAACGGAACCACCGGAGGAAGCTCCTGTACTAAGACCTGGATGCAGAAGGGGAAAGGCGAGGAGGTCTTGTTACGGTTGCCCAGTGCCCGCCTCATCCACCCCTGCAGGAGGGCAGCTGAGAGAGAGAACCTCAGCCCTTCTCCTCTTCACCCCACAGCCCTCCCGTCTCTTGCCCGTGCCTGCAGTGGTCAGCGCACACCTAAGGGTGACCGGCCTGGGGTGCCCGGGGGTGCGCTCTGCAGGCCTCCTCCTGGGACACAGAGCTTGGAAGAGAAAGGTAGAGCCAGGTGTGGAGGACCATCCAGGAAGAGGAGCACAGTCCTCACCAGATGTTTGCTTCTGCGCCCTTGGGGAGGGGCTTTGTATTGGCCCGCACTGTGCTAAGTGATGAAACACGTCCCTGGGCCGCTCCTCATGGGCCACTTGAAGACATGGACTCTTCCGCCATGTTAGCATTTCACGCTTATATTCCTAATTTCTGAATTGAATGCACTTCTTCAGAATGTCTTTGGCTTTTGAGTGTCCCTGTGTCGAGTAGCTTATTATTTGCAAAAGCCTGAAATATCTGTTGAGCATTCTACTGTGCGAGTGAAGAAGTCTTATCTTTCATTTGGTTCTTTCACTCATCTGTTCGGTTAACTCCCGGGAAAGCTTGGGGGTGATCTTGAGGAGAAGTCTATGGTTTTCATCTCTGAGGACTTTACTAGTCTGACGTCTTCCTAGGGATGTCAGAGGTGAAATCATCTTGAGTAATTCGAAACAAGCAGAGCACAGAATTCAGGCGCAGAGGGTAGGAAGTGGATGATGGCCTAGGCGCCTCCACAGGTGCGTCACCGGTGAGTGTGTTGAGCACTGGATTTCTGAGACCGTGAGTCTCTGTGTAGCACGTATGGGGTGCCGACAACTGGTAGCATTCTTTAGGTGTAAAGCTTGACTTACCCAGGATAAGTTAGGTAAGAACTCTTCTTTTCCATTTGCAGTGGATCAGGGAACAAAGGATGAGTGTTTTGTCTTATTTTTTATGTCATCTGCTCATTTCCTTTCCACTTGGTTTTGGTTGTGGAATGTGACATGATCTGCCATTAAACTAAGGATGGCTTTCTTTCTCTCTTCCTCCCTTCCTTCCTTTCTTTCTTTCTTAAAATTTTTAATGTTTATTTATTTTTGAGAGAGAGGGACAGAGCATGAGCAGGGGAGGGGCAGAGAGAGAGGGAGACAGAATCAGAAGCAGGCTCCAGGCTCCGAGCCGTCAGCGCAGAGCCCAGCACGGGGCCCGAACTCATGAACTGCAAGATCATGACCTGAGTCAAAGTTGGACAGTTAACCAACTGAGCCATTCAGGCACCCCTCTTTCTTTCTTTCTTTTCTTTCTTTTCTTTCTTTTCTCTCTTTTCTCTCTTTTCTCTCTCTCTCTTTCTTTCTTTCTTTCTTTTTCTTTTAAACGTTTATTTATTTATTTTGAGAGAGAGAGAGAGAGAATCCCAAACAGGCTCAAGGCTGTCACTGCAAAGCCCTATGTGGGGCTTGAGCTCAAGAACCGCAGATGGTGACCTGAGCTGAAATCAAGAGTCGGACGCTTAACCAACTGAGACACCCAGGTGCCCCTAAACTAACCATAGCTTTTAAAGTTGGCAAGACTGATTTAACCTCCGCAATGGATGGATACTGATGTTATTAATTTGTGTGGTGTGTGGTCAAATCCTAGGAGTTTTGAAAGCTGAGCAAGAAATGGTTTCCTGATTTAAGGAATTTCCATTCTGGTGGTGGGGAGCTCTGGGGGCCAAAGCTATTTTTACTGACTGTCACCCCAAACCTTGTGTACTTTTACATAGAGTAGCAATGCTTTGTTGAATTAGGATTCCTTGTCTGGGTTTTATTCCCCTCCCACTCTGCCCCCCGCCCCCCCAACCTAATCAGAGGAAGGGTAAGGGAAAAATAGACTAAGACATGAGAATCCAGGAAATGATTTTGAAATTAAAGCAGCAAAGGTTTAGGACAATTAACATAAACTTGTGTTACGGTGTAAAAGGCTGGGTGAATGAAGACCAGCTCTAAAGACCTGGCGTTCATGACAAATGGCTATCCCAGTAGTGAGTTTTGATTATTCCGCTGGGGCCTCTGCCCACAAGATTTCTTCACTTGCCTGGATCTTTTTGTCACTGGTTGT